ATTTAATGTTGATTACAACACGAAAGACCTAAAGCTATCATTCAACTCCTCCCATGGTTCTGCACATATGTAGTAACATACATGAAAATTATCCACCAATAAAAGACAGATCAAAGTGGTAGTGGTAAAAGCCATATTGTTTTCAGCATCTTCCTATTGATAATAACATAGTAATGTTAATTTTTTTCATGACTATTGCAAGAAACAACAGGTGGAAGCCAGAGGTTTCAATCCATCCTGTACTATAGTTATGTCAAGTATTTTCCGGCATATAAGGCGCACCTTTTTCCCCCACAAAAGGTCTTGGAAAATCAGCCTGCACCTTATATGTTCAAGGTCGGGGTTAAGGCTATGCTTTGGGTTAGGTTTCAGCATAAAGTAAGAGGGTAATTTAAGCCCTTGAATATGAGTGTTAATTCTGCAGTATGATACTTCCGTTGTGCGCCTTATATGCCAGAAAATACAGTGCTTGTTTGAGTGTGTCCAGGAGAGAGTGAGATATTGTGGTGAAGCTGTAAGTTCCAGCCACAGTATTGTGATTTATGTTTAAACTGGGTAGGACTGTAATGCCCACAGCAGAGACCTGCTGCAGCAGATCTTACCACCCACAGACCTGCTGCAGCAGACTTCACCACCCACAGACTTGCTGCAGCAGACATCATCACCCACATACCTGCTGCAGCAGACTTCACCACCCACAGACTTGCTGCAGCAGACATCACCACCCACAGACCTGCTGGAGCAGACTTCACCACCCACAGACCTGCTGCAGCAGACTTCACTACCCACAGACCTGCTGCAGCAGACTTCACTACCCACAGACCTGCTGCAACAGACTTCACTACCCACAGACCTGCTGCAGCAGACTTCACCACCCACAGACCTGCTGCAGCAGACTTCACTACCCACAGACCTGCTGCAGCAGACTTCACTACCCACAGACCTGCTGCAGCAGACTTCACCACCCACAGACCTGCTGTAGCAGACTTCACCACCCACAGACCTGCTGCAACAGATTTCACCACCCACAGACCTGCTGTAGCAGACTTCACCACCCACAGACCTGCTGCAGCAAACTTCACCACCCACAGACCTGCTGCAGCAAACTTCACCACCCACAGACCTGCAGCAGCAGACTTCACCACCCACAGACCTGCTGCAGCAGACTTCACCACCCACAGACCTGCTGTAGCAGACTTCACCACCCACAGACCTGCTGCAACAGACTTCACCACCCACAGACCTGTTGTAGCAGACTTCACCACCCACAGACCTGCTGCAACAGACTTCACCACCCACAGACCTGCTGCAACAGACTTCACCACCCACAGACCTGCTGCAGCAGACTTCACCACCCACAGACCTGCTGCAGCAGACTTCACCACCCACAGACCTGCTGCAACAGATTTCACCACCCACAGACCTGCTGTAGCAGACTTCACCACCCACAGACCTGCTGCAGCAAACTTCACCACCCACAGACCTGCTGCAGCAAACTTCACCACCCACAGACCTGCTGCAACAGACTTCACCACCCACAGACCTGCTGCAGCAAACTTCACCACCCACAGACCTGCTGTAGCAGACTTCACCACCCACAGACCTGCTGCAACAGACTTCACCACCCACAGACCTGCTGTAGCAGACTTCACCACCCACAGACCTGCTGCAACAGACTTCACCACCCACAGACCTGCTGCAACAGACTTCACCACCCACAGACCTGCTGCAGCAGACTTCACCACCCACAGACCTGCTGCAACAGACTTCACCACCCACAGACCTGCTGTAGCAGACTTCACCACCCACAGACATGCTGCAGCAAACTTCACCAACCCACGACCTGCTGTAGCAGACAATTCACCACCCACAGACCTGCTGCAACAGACTTCACCACCCACAGACCTGCTGTAGCAGACTTCACCACCCACAGACCTGCTGCAACAGACTTCACCACCCACAGACCTGCTGTAGCAGACTTCACCACCCACAGACCTGCTGCAGCAAACTTCACCACCCACAGACCTGCTGCAGCAGACTTCACCACCCACAGACCTGCTGCAGCAGACTTCACCACCCACAGACCTGCTGCAGCAAACTTCACCACCCACAGACCTGCTGCAGCAAACTTCACCACCCACAGACCTGCTGCAGCAAACTTCACCACCCACAACCTGCAAGCAAACGCATCACCACCCACAGACCTGCTGCAGCAAACTTCACCACCCACAGACCTGCTGCAGCAGACTTCACCACCCACAGACCTGCTGCAGCAAACTTCACTACCCACAGACCTGCTGCAGCAAACTTCACCACCCACAGACCTGCTGCAGCAAACTTCACCACCCACAGACCTGCTGCAGCAGACTTCACCACCCACAGACCTGCTGCAGCAGACTTCACCACCCACAGACCTGCTGCAGCAGACTTCACCACCCACAGACCTGCTGCAAGCAAACATTCACTACCCACAGACCTGCTGCAGCAAACTTCACCACCCACAGACCTGCTGCAGCAAACTTCACCACCACAGACCTGCTGCAGCAGACTTCACCACCCACAGACCTGCTGCAGCAAACTTCACCACCCACAGACCTGCTGCAGCAGACTTCACCAGGATTGAGATCATTTGTGATATCTGACAAGAATGATAAGACAAATATATTGACAGAATTTCTTTTGTGTTTATGTATAATAATGAACAATACCTGATGATGACGGTTATGATGAATGCTTTGTAATGATAGTGATTGATATCTCAGGATGATGAGTATAATGATAATAGTGAACGATACCTCTGGATGATGATGATGGTTATGATGAATGCTGTATAATGATAATAATGAAGAATACCTGATAATGGTGACGGTGTTGTAGATAGCAGCTATGGTGAGCAGCAGACACACACCTCCCAGGATGCCAGCCACGACATAAAGCTCTTGATCCAGGGTGAGAGTGGCCTGCTAGGCACAACACTAGTTCAGTCAGGTGGTAAAGCGAGGACATAAGGAGGAGCACTGCAGGAGGCCTACTGGCCCATACTAGGCAGGTCCTTCATAAACCCAAACCCATTTACAGACACATTTGCCAATGCACTTATCAATGTTACCCAATAAGTTTTGATAGTGTTAACTCATGTGTAAGTTGTACTCAAATTCACCGCCTTTCACTCGTCAGGGGCCCAAGACTGTTCACCTGCCTTCCAGCATACATAAGTGGGATTACCGATAGACCCCTGGCTGTCTCCAAGACCCCTGGCTGTTTTCAAAACCCTTGGCTCTCCATGATCTCTGGTTATTTTCAAGACTTCTGGTTATCTTCAAGACCCCTGGCTGCCTTCAAGACCCCTGGTTGTCTTCAAGACCCCTGGCTGCCTTCAAGACCCCTGGTTGTCTTCAAGACTTCTGGTTGTCTTCAAGACCCCTGATTGTCTTCAAGACCCCTGGTTGTCTTCAAGACCCCAGGTTGTCTTCAAGACCCCTGGCTGTATTTAACAGGGAGCTGGACAGGCACCTAAAGTCAGTACCTGACCAGCTGGTTTATATTTATATGCGGCCAGCAGTAACAGCCTGGTTGATCAGGTCCTGATCCACCACGAGGCCTGGTCATGGACCGGGCCGCGGTGGAGTTGACCCCAGTTCATCTAGCAGTAAGTAGGTACTTGGGCGTTAGTCACCTTACACCTGCTGTCCCTGTTCACCTAGCAGTAAGTAGGTACCTGTGTGTTAGTCACCTTACACCTGCTGTCCCTGTTCACCTAGCAGTAAGTAGGTACCTGGGTGTTAGTCACCTTACACCTGCTGTCCCTGTTCACCTAGCAGTAAGTAGGTACCTGGGTGTTAGTCACCTTACACTTGCTGTCCCTGTTCACCTAGCAGTAACTAGGCACCTGGGTGTTAGTTGACTGTTGTGGGTGGCATCCTGGGGGAGAGGAACTCTCCGTGTATATACACCTAGATACATCTGGCAGTGTATATATATTATGTGCGTTGTATTGTATTTAAGTCAGAGCACTGCGTGGGTGAGGCAAGTAGCAGACAGTATTCCAGACACGTCTCTCTCTCTCTCTCTCTCTCTCTCTCTCTCTCTCTCTCTCTCTCTCTCTCTCTCTCTCTCTCTCTCTCTCTCTCTCTCTCTCTCTCTCTCTCTCTCTCTCTCTCTTTCTTTCTCTCTCTCTCGTTTACCTACATTCACAGGGACATGAAGTCTTGTCTAAGTAGATTGAGTTCTTTCTTGTCATAGCGTTGAATTTAGAGCCCAAGAGCTGTTATCCGGCCTCAAATCACAGGCTAAGAGCTGTAAAATGTATCACCCCTTCCCCAGGATTCTACCCGCTACAGTCGACTAACACCCAGGCACTTACTGCTAGGTGAGCAGTGACAGTAGGTGCAAGGTAACTAACACCCAGGTACCTACTTACTGCTAGGTGAACATGGGCAATAGGCATCTCAAGGAAACACGTACTAATGTTTCCACCCCGTACCGGGGATCGACCCCCCGGACCTCAGTTTGTGAGGCGAGTGCGCTAGCAACCCAGCCACGGGACACCCTGCAAATGACATGCTTGAAGATAATTTAAAAATGCTTAGACAGCTACAAACAGGAGAAAACATGAATATATGATACGCATTTTAACTTTTAAGGTCAAAATAAGACATTAGAAGGTCCACAATGGAAATAAGTCTGACTTCTTTGGGTTATCAGTCAAAGTGCTGTGGGTTACACATTGGATTACTCCTTCATGATAAAGTTGATATGTTAGCCAAGAAGAGTACCCAGAAGGAGAATGTAGAATATAACTTTGGTATAACTGTTCTAGCATTAGGAATAATATTAGGAGAGAAGTAAATAATGAAAATGATTGTTATAGGAATGCAGTTAGAAGCCTGAGTAGATCTATAACCCACTATGATAACATGAACGTAGATAAGTATGTTTATGGAGCAACTTGCAATGTGAACACTGACTGATGTTGTAGTGGCCAGGCTTAGGCTTGGTTACAAGTACTGACTGATGTTGTAGTGGTCAGGCTTAGGCTTGGTTACAAGTACTGACTGATGTTGTAGTGGCCAGGCTTAGTCTTGGTTACAAGTACTGACTAATGTTGTAGTGGCCAGGCTTAGGCTTGGTTACAAGTACTGGCTGATGTTGTAGTGGCCAGGCTTAGGCTTGGTTACAAGTACTGACTGATGTTGTAGTGGTCAGGCTTAGGCTTGGTTACAAGTACTGAGTGATGTTGTAGTGGCCTGGCTTAGGCATGGTTACAAGTACTGACTTTAAAGTTGTAGTGGCCAGGCTTAGGCTTGGTTACAGGTACTGACTGATGTTGTAGTGGCCAGGCTTAGGCTTGGTTACAAGTACTGAGTGATGTTGTAGTGGCCTGGCTTAGGCATGGTTACAAGTACTGACTAATGTTGTAGTGGCCAGGCTTAGGCTTGGTTACAAGTACTGACTAATGTTGTAGTGGCCAGGCTTAGGCATGGTTACAAGTACTGACTGATGTTGTAGTGGCCTGGCTTAGGCTTGGTTACAAGTAGTGGCTGATGTTGTAGTGGCCAGGCTTAGGCTTGGTTACAAGTACTGGCTGATGTTGTAGTGGCCAGGCTTAGGCTAGGTTACAAGTACTGGCTGATGTTGTAGTGGCCAGGCTTAGGCTTGGTTACAAGTACTGACTGATGTCATAGTGGCCAGGCTTAGGCTTGGTTACAAGTACTGGCTGATGTTGTAGTGGCCAGGCTTAGGCTAGGTTACAAGTACTGGCTGATGTTGTAGTGGCCAGGCTTAGGCTTGGTTACAAGTACTGACTGATGTCATAGTGGCCAGGCTTAGGCTTGGTTACAAGTACTGGCTGATGTTGTAGTGGCCAGGCTTAGGCTTGGTTACAAGTACTGGCTGATGTTGTAGTGGCCAGGCTTAGGCTTGGTTACAAGTACTGACTGATGTCATAGTGGCCAGGCTTAGGCTTGGTTACAAGTACTGACTGACGTTGTAGTGGCCAGGCTTAGGCTTGGTTACAAGTACTGACTGATGTTGTAATGGCCTGGCTTAGGCTTACCTGGAGTTTACCTGGAGAGAGTCCGGGGTAACGCCCCCGCGGCCGGTCTTGACCAGGCCTCCTGGTGGATCAGAGCTGATCAACCAGGCTTTTGCTGCTGGCTGCACGCAAACAAACGTACGAGCCACAGCCCGGCTGGTCAGGAACCGACTTTAGGTGCTTGTCCAGTGCCAGCTTGAAGACTGCCAGGGGTCTGTTGGTAATCCCCCTTATGTATGCGGGGAGGCAGTTGAACAGTCTGGGCCCTGACATTATTGTTGGTCTTTAATGCTAGTGACCCCCTGCTTTTCAGGGGGGGATTTGAATCGTTCCAAGTTTTTTGCTTTCGTAGTGAGTGATTTTGGTGCAAGTTCGGTATTGTCCCTTAGGATTTTTCCAGGTGTATTAATAAATGTTTTTCCCCCGCCTGCATTCCAGGGAAACAGGTTCAGGAACCTAAAGCGCCCCCAGTAATTGAGGTTTTTTTATCTAATGCGCGCCGTAAAAGTTCTCTGTACATTTTCTGGGTCAGAAATTTCCCTGCTTGAAAAGGGTGAGTGTGCAGCAATTTTCCGCCAGTGAAAAATGCCCAAAAGGTGTCTCATGGGTTTGGCCTCCCTATTTTTAAAAGGTTTCTATCCTCCTGTCTTTTTTCTAGCAGATGCGATTGAAAAATGTTTTGGCCCTTTAAAGGGGTGAGATCCTCCAAATGATCACCCCCAGGTCTTTGAGTTGGTGTTTCCTCTATTTTGTGGCCAGAATTTGTTTTGTACTTGTTTGAGATTTATTTCCTCGTGTTTCCCCTTGAGTATTGAAATTTTCATTTGAATTTCATATTGTTTTCTGCGCCCACGAAAGTTTGGGTTGATGTCCGCCTGGGCCTTGCAGTTTTGCAGTGGGCACTGTCATGCAGATTGGGTGTCTCTGCAAAGGAAGACCGGTGCTGGGCTGACATCTTGTCTATGTCGGATATGAGGATGGGAAACAAGATGGGAGCGAGTACGTGCCTTGGGGAATAGAGTTTTCACCGAGCGCCCCCGGACTTTACTTGTTGACGACTCCTCTGTGTTTGTTAGTGAGGAATTATAGATCCTCGACCATTTTCCCGTTTTTTTAGGGCCCCATTTTTTGCCCATTAGCCTGGTCACACTTTTCCCAGGCTTTTGAAAGTTGAATATTTAAAATCTGCTTCTTTTTATCTTTTGTGCATTTAGGACTTGTCTGGTGTCTAATAGTTAGACAGCAAGGCGACCTGTTCTAAACCCATTTTTGCCCCGGGTTGTGTAATGAGGGTTTTTGTGGGTGGTGTCTTGCTTTTTAGGGCTCTTTCAAAGATTTTTATGATATGGGGTGTTAGTGCTTCGGTCTGTATTCTTTTGCTGTTGCTTTACTGCCCCCTTTTTGGAGTGGGGATGTTGTTGTTTTTTGTAATGTGGGACGACCCCGTGTCCATGCTCCCTCTCCCCAAGGTGGAAAAGGCTGTGATAGGGGGTTTTTGCATTCTTGATGAACACGGAGTTCCCTGAGTCTGCCCCGGGGCAGAGTCATAGGCATGTCATTTATCGCCTGTTCGAAGTCATTTTGGGGTCGGATAAACGGATGGCTTTTTGTTAACCAAATTTTGTGGCTCATAAAAAAATCATTTTGATCTTCGACCCCAGTCTGGTTAGCGGCTTGCTAAAAAACTGAGTCATATTGGGACTGAAGTAGCTCACTCATTTCCTTGCTGTCATCTGTGTAGGACCCATTTTTGTTTAAGTAGGGCCCAATACTGGATGTTGTTTTCCCGACTTTGATTTGGCATAGGAGAAGAAATACTTTGGGTTTCTTTTCGATTTCATTTATGGCTTTTAGTTTTTTCCCGCGATTCCTGACTCCTAAAGGATTCTTTTAGCTTAAGTTCGATGCTTGCTATTTCTCTGACCAGTGTCTCCCTACGCATTTCAGATATTTTGACCTCTTTTAGCCGCTCGGGTTATTCTTTTCCGTCGCCTGTAAAGGGAGCGCCTGTCTCTTTCTTTTTTACATCTACTCCTCCTTTTTCTTAGAGGAAAAGCCTTGTGCATACATCGAGTGCCCCCGAGTTAATCTGTTCTAGGCATAAGTTTGGGTCGTGTTGTTTAGTATATCTTCCAGCTTATACGGTTAGGACTTGGTTTACTTGGTCCCACTTTATGTTTTTTGTTATTGAAGTTGAATTTGGTGAATGCTCCCTGGGTGACTAGTCTCTTAGGGTCGGTCTGGGGGCTCCACGCATACATGTCTGAACCTCAATAGTGTGATCTGAGTATATTGTTTTTGATTGGTGACATTCTTATCAATAATTGTTAGTGAAGATGAAGTCTAGTGTATTCGGTTACAAGTACTAAACTGTGTTTATTTGGGCCTGCTTAGGCTTGGTTACAAGTACTGGCTGATGTTGTATGGCCAGGCTTAGCTTGGTTACAATACTGACTGATGTTGTAGGGGCCAGACTTAGGTTGTTACAATACTGACTGATGTTGAGTGGCCCTCCTTGGGTTGGTTACAAGTACTGACTGATGTTGTAGTGGCCTGGCTTAGGCTTGGTTTCAAGTACTGACTGATGTTGTAGTGGCCTGGCTTAGGCTTGGTTAAAGTACGGGCTGATGTAGTGGCCGGGCTTAGCTTGGTACAATACTTTGAGCTTGGGAGACACACAGATATGACAAACTAAATGCAATTATTGTTAGACATGGTCATCTCTTGAACACTGTCTTAGTTGTCCACTTTTGGGGTAACAGAGAAGACATATAAACCTAGTGACTGTCAGTGTCTTATTTGAAAATAGATACCAGATTACAAAGGGCAAATTCCTAAATTTGTTTTGAACAGATAAGGAACTATAGTATGAAAGATTGAACACTATGCAACACATGGAATCTTTATGAAGAACGTTTCTCAATAAGTTTCCCTGTGTTGAATAAGTGCTAAATTTCTTCAACTGTCGGTTTCAAAACCATTCATCACACGTCAGACACGGGCAACTCATGGAATTTGTACAGAAGACTTCAACGCTTGCCCAAACCTTTGGCGTGACCACTACATATGGCAGGTCCCACAAGATCCGCCCTCCTGCTTCAATCATCTCACCGTAGATATGCCACCTCTCTGGCCCTATGCTGCACTTATACAAGAGTGATGGACGAAACATCGAATCCGGGTTGGGGGATGATTTCCTCAACTTTACTCTCCTTACCCATTTCTACTTTGTATTGGACTGATGAAGCCACTGTGTGGCGAAACGTTTCTTCAAGATTCCCATGTGTTGCATAAGTGTCTCAATTCTTCAACTTGTCGGTTTTCAAAACCATTCATCACACATATAGATATGTAGATATAAATCCATATGTATTCCTGTTACCCCTTTGGGGCCTAGTTCCTGGGCCTTTTGTGTATCCATATGCTCTTGTGCTACCGTCCACAGGATGGATATGAGGTGATAATATAAGATTTCGTTCGGATTTTTAACCCTGGAGGGTTAGCCACCCAGGATAACCCAAGAAAGTCAGTGCGTCATCGAGGACTGTCTAACTTATTTCCATTGTGGTCCTTAATCTTGTCCCACAGGATGCGACCCACACCAGTCGACTAACACCCAGGTACCTATTTGCTGCTAGGTGAACAGGACAACAGGTGTAAGGAAACGTGTTGAAATGTTTCCACCCGCCGGGAATCGAACCCGGGCCCTCCGTTTGTGAAGCGGGAGCTTTAGCCACCAGGCCACCGGGCCACCCCGATCATGAATAAACTATCCACTCTGGGGGTAAAAAACTAATCTTTGGGTTATCCTGGGTAATAATACACTATGTGTAAACTGTCTCTTTTTATACAGAAATTGGGGGGCACTTAAGGGCATGTTCTATTCCGTAGTTATGTCCGTAGTTACGCAAATGAAAAGCTGTGCTCCTGGAGGAGGGGCTGCAGGGAGCCACTAGTTTGGGTAAGGTTTGTCAGGCCCTGATCCACCAGGAGCCTGACTCAAACCCGGGGCCCCGGGGCGTTGACCCCCGAAACACCTCCACGTATACTCCAGGTAAGGACAAGGAATCAAGGATACCGGGCCGCGGGGGCGTAGACCCCCGGAACTCTCTCCAGGTAATTCCAGGTCCATGTAAGCACCACTGGAAATAAAGTTACTTTGTCTAACCCTTTTTTTAAGGTTATTCTAGTGGGTAATTTACGCAATATGTTGTGTCAAGCAACCACAAGAGGGGGGAGGGGTTGAATGAGAGTTCTAGGCCTTTTGTGTTGCAATCAACACATCAGGAGCTTGCAATGATGCATAAAAGTAGAGGAGTTCCAAGCAAATACGATCACAGGGAACGCCTTGCTGGAGTATGTATGATAATTTGTACTCAATTGTGGGTGCAGGTTTCGATTCATAGCTTCTGGCCCCATCTATTCACTGATCGGTACTACGTCCTCTCTCTCCGTGCTCCATGAGCTTTGTCATACCTCGTCTTAAAACTATGTATGGTTCCTGCCTCCGCTACGTCACCTTCCAGACCATTCCACTTCCTGACAACTTCCTAACATCCCTCTATGTGTACCTGTACATAAACTTACGAGGGCACAGAGACGTCAGATAATTCTCTACTTCACTAGGCTGTAAAGCGGACTGATGTGTATGTGACGGTGAAGAATGACTCGATAAGTGACTTTAAATATAGGTAAGGTAACTCTTAAGATGTTAGAAGTCTCTAAAACTGGTTGACAGTGACTCGAACCCCCCCTCCCCGCATCCACAATTAGGTGAACACACGCACACACACCAGGGACCAGGAACTATGAATCGACCCTTACAACTACATATAGGTGAGTACTACAGTGATCTACGGGTGGAAACATCTGGGCATGTTTCTTTAAGACACCTGCTGTCCATTTTCACCTAGGAGTAAGTAGATACCTGGGTGTTAGTTGACTGGTGTGGGTCGCATCCTGGGGATAAAATTGGCCTAAGTTGCGGGAAATACTCTGCATAACCAGGGGCTTTCTATGTAGTATGCCATAGGTGTCAGTTATGGTCTGTATAAGTTGTATCATGTACTTGTAGAAATAAAGATTATTATTAATAATATTATTAGTAATATTACAGGGCTTTAAGCATTACTGATAGACTCACCGCGCAGGCGCTGCCCACCAACGTAGCCAGTACGATATATCTGAGCATAATTCTATTGTGAGAGTCAGTAGCAGCAGCAGTAGTAGCAGTAGTAGTAGTAGCAGTAGTAGTAGTAGCAGTAGTAGTGGTCAGAGGTCCTCAGTGAGGGGTTCTACTGGTATAACACTGCAATTTTTTCAACACTATCTTTCCAGATTGCGTATAGTTTGTTTATATAATCCTGGTGCTGGTGGTAGGGTCGTTAGGACGTAATGTTAGGGTGGTTAGGACCCGGGGTTGGTTATGGGTCGTTAAGACCTGGTGTTGGGGTCGTCTGAGAGACAACAGATGCTGGCTGACACTAGGGTGTGTACGTCGGATAACCACCTGTTTGAGGTACCAAGGCACTACTAGCGCCTCCCACCACCTGGTACACCAACTAGTTCCCCGGCTCACCACATATACCACTCATCCACTACACTGGTTATAAGATAAAGGTAAAAACCATCCGTTATCTTATTGTTTATCGGTAGTCAGCAGACTCTAGCGGCCTTCAGGTCACCGCTGGTAGGGGCGAGAATGGCATGGAGGCACCTCTGGAGCCTCTGTACCAGGACGAGGTGTACCTGTAAGCAAGATAACATGATAACATGTATTCCTCGTGATAACAGGAAGATAAGGCACGGGGTAGGAGGGCACAAGCGGTTGTTAGCTAGTTCGGCTCACAGCAAAAGTACCTAGGGTAGAATTCTAGGCGAGACGGGAGATGAGGATAGGTGTCCTAGAACCTGCTGGCTATGTTAGTATATAATATGTATCTGGGAGTAATCAGATGTTGTGGGTCGCATCCTGGGAAGGGGCATAACAAATGAATCATGGTGGAATTAAGCCACTCGGGTTCTGCTGGGTTATTAACCCTTTAGAGTTGTTGATCAGGATAAAATTCTTCTTCACCCTTCAGGCTGTTGCTGCTGGCTGCACGCAAACCAACGTACGAGCCACAGCCCGTGTGTGTGTGTGTGTGTGTGTGTGTGTGTGTGTGGTGTGTGTGTGTGTGTATGTGTATGAGTGTGTGATGTGATGAGTGGGTGTGTGTGTGTACTCACCTATTTGTGGTTGCAGGGGTCGAGTCTTAGCTCCTGGCCCCGCCTCTTCACCGGTTGCTCTTCACTGGTATGGTGTGTGTTGCGTGGTTTGTATGAGTGTTGTGTATGTGTGTGTGGTTTGTGTTGTGTGTGTGTGTGTGTGTGTTGTGTGTGTGTGTGTGTGTGTGTGTGTGTGTGTGTGTGTGACTCAATCAATATTTGCACCAATAACTCACTACAGTTTGTGACCGGGTGTGGAAGTGTGAATTGCTTATTACACTATAATTTGTTCATGATTGTAGCCATGTATAAACGTAAAGTAACCATTCTTACAGTATTCATTACCTTGTAACTTGTGAGTTCATTACTTGTACCTAGTTCAGCCATCCAAACTTTGGGGGCCAGTCCCTGGATCCATTATGTACCTCTGTAATCTGTAAATACCTTTGTAACTTGTCATGATTGTGACTAGACCTACCCGGAGTTCATTACCTTTGTAATTTGTGAGTTCATTACCTTTGTAAATTGTGAATTCATTACCTCTGTAACTTGCTCAGCTATCAAAACTTTGGAGTCCAGTCCCTGGACCAATTATGTACCTCTGTAATCTTTTGACTACCGCCCACAGGATGGGTATGGGGTGACTACCGCCCACAGGATGGGTATGGGGTGCATAATAAACATATTAAACTAAAAAAAAAACCTTCAGCAATTAGGTACCTGGGTGTTCGGTGCTGTGGGTAGCATCCCAGGGGGAGAATACCAAAGACCCCTTAGTGGAAGTGGGTCACAATGCCTGGCTTATTTGGGTTATCCTGTTTTACTAACTCCTGGGTTGCTAATCCCAAGATAATACTCATCAGGTGCCTGGCTTACTCCATCACCTGCCTGACAGCCGGTAACAACACTGTATCAGGGAATCAAACAATCTTATCAGAACACTGAATCACTATCACAGGAAATATGTGGGCCACTAAGCTGCAACTATCTAGGAGTTATTGGCTAATTAGTTAGACTGAAGAGACACCTAAGTTCCCCCGTCTTCTAATATCATGTTCATTTTCCCACTATAATCTACCTTGTCCATTATTACTCTCTCATTTGTCTGTTGTCGTAAGGTGAAGTTCAGGATCTTTACTTAATTCAGGGTATAATTTCAATTTTTGAGAACAATTTTGTTGTAGAGGTCTGAGCTTTGTTTGTAGAGGTCTAAACACAGCTCAGACTTCTGAGCTTTGCTTGTAGAGGTCTAAACACAGCTCAGACTTCTGAGCTTTGCTTGTAGAGGTCTAAACACAGCTCAGACTTCTAAGTTTTGCTTGTAGAGGTCTAAACACAGCTCAGACTTCTAAGTTTTGCTTGTAGAGGTCTAAACACAGATCAGACTTCTAAGTTTTGCTTGTAGAGGTCTAAACACAGCTCAGACTTCTAAGCTTTGCTTGTAGAGGTCTAAACACAGCTCAGACTTCTAAGCTTTGTTTGTAGAGGTCTAAACACAGCTCAGACTTCTAAGCTTTGTTTGTAGAGGTCTAAACACAGCTCAGACTTCTAAGCTTTGTTTGTAGAGGTCTAAACACAGCTCAGACTTCTAAGCTTTGCTTGTAGAGGTCTAAACACAGCTCAGATTTCTAAGCTTTGTTTGTAGAGGTCTAAACACAGCTCAGACTTCTAAGCTTTGCTTGTAGAGGTCTAAACACAGCTCAGACTTCTAAGCTTGTTTGTAGAGGTCTAAACACAGCTCAGACTTCTAAGCTTTGTTTGTAGAGGTCTAAACACAGCTCAGACTTCTAAGCTTGTTTGTAGAGGTCTAAACACAGCTCAGACTTCTAAGTTTGTTTATAGAGGTCTAAACACAACTCAGACTTCTAAGTTTTGCTGTAGAGGTCTAAACACAGCTCAGACTTCTAAGTTTTGCTTGTAGAGGTCTAAACACAGCTCAGACTTCTAAGTTTTGCTTGTAGAGGTCTAAAACACAGCTCAGACTTCTAAGTTTTGCTTGTAGAGGTCTAAACACAGCTCGACTTCTAAGTTTTGCTTGTAGAGGTCTAAACACAGCTCAGACTTCTAAGTTTGCTTGTAGAGGTCTAAACACAGCTCAGACTTCTAAGTTTGCTTGTAGAGGTCTAAACACAGCTCAGACTTCTAAGTTTTGCTTGTAGAAGGTCTAAACCACAGCTCAGACTTCTAAGTTTGCTTGTAGAGGTCTAAACACAGCTCAGACTTCTAAGTTTTGCTTGTAGAGGTCTAAACACAGCTCAGACTTCTAAGTTTTGCTTGTAAGGTCTAAACACAGCTCAGACTTCTAAGTTTTGCTTGTAGAGGTCTAAACACAGCTCAGACTTCTAAGTTTTGCTTGTAGAGGTCTAAACACAGCTCAGACTTCTAAGTTTTGCTTGTAGAGGTCTAAACACAGCTCAGACTTCTAAGTTTTGCTTGTAAGGTCTAAACACAGCTCAGACTTCTAAGCTTTGCTGTAGGGGTCTAAACCAGCTCAGACTTCAAGCTTTGTTTGTAGAGGTCTAAACACAGCTCAGACTCTAAGTTTTGCTTGTAGAGGTCTAAACACAGCTCAGACTTCTAAGTTTTGCTTGTAGAGGTCTAAACACAGCTCAGACTTCTAAGCTTTGCTTGTAGGGGTCTAAACACAGCTCAGACTTCTAAGCTTTGCTTGTAGGGGTCTAAACACAGCTCAGACTTCTAAGCTTTGTTTGTAGAGGTCTAAACACAGCTCAGACTTCTAAGCTTTGCTTGTAGAGGTCTAAACACAGCTCAGACTTCTAAGCTTTGCTTGTAGAGGTCTAAACACAGCTCAGACTTCTACAACACAATTGTCATCAAAGATTTGTTAAGTTACACCATGAATTAAGGAAAGATCCTGGACTTCACCTTACGAAACAAAGCAAATGTGATAGTAAATATGTACAAGGTAGATTATAGTGGAAAAAAAAAACGTGATTGTAAGACCGGGGAACTGACGAGCTATACACGTGCCCCAAAATACACACTTTTCAGTGTACATAATTTATCTGGAATTTATTACTATATACCTGACTTAATTTGTCAATATTGTGTTGTATTCACTTGGAAGCGGTAAATCTGTAAGGGTTATATAGTGTCTGGGAGTGGTAGAGGGTGAACGTAAATCTTATATATAAGGTTTAAAACTTGTTTAGATCGCTGTATAATTTACCACCAGTACATGTACAAGGTATACAAGTACATGTACAAGGTATACAAGTACATGTACAAGGTATACCAGTACATGTACAAGGTATACCAGTACATGTACAAGGTATACAAGTACATGTACAAGGTATACAAGTACATGTACAAGGTATACAAGTACATGTACAAGGTATACAGACCATAGTTGACATCAATGACATACTACTATATAGAAAGTCACTTGTTATGCTGAGCATTTCCTGCAAATTGTCAGTTTTGTCCCAGGATGCCACCCACACCAGTCCACTAACACCCAGGTACCTATTTTACTTTCAAATTCAAATTCAAATTCAAAGTTTATTCTCTATAAGGATTACAATGCTGAGTTTACAGAAATTTGGTTATTGTTTGGTTTACATGTAGTAAAATTGTGATTACAGAGTGTACCACTAGAACGCTTAGCATGGCTAGGTATTACAGAGTGTACACTAGAACGCTTAGCATGGCTGGTATTACAGAGTGTACCACTAGAACACCTAGCATGGCTAGGTATTACAGAGTGTACCACTAGAACGCTTAGCATGCTAGGTATTATACAGAGTGTACCACTAGAACACCTAGCATGTAGGCATTACAGAGTGTACCACTAGAACACCTAGCATGGCTAGGCATTACAGAGTGTACCACTAGAACACCTAGCATGGCTAGGCATTACGGAGTGTACCACTAGAACACCTAGCATGGCTAGGCATTTCGGGCAGACTTAGTTTTATTCTTAATTTTAAAATATTACAAATTATGAGGTAAGTTGGTATTATGGCTAAGTGACTAAATACTAGTTTGTGAGTTTAGCAATGTGAATGTTTTGTTTTGGCACAGTATATAGTTTCAGTATTGGAGTATCACAGGATTCATTATTTTAAGATTGAGATTAATATTTCTGTTTATGGTCAAATGGGTGAGAGAGTGTAAGTGTGAACCACCAGGTGGTATTCGTGATGGGTGAACAGGGACAGCAGGTGTCTTATGGAAACACGTCCCTAATGTTCTCCAGTCGTACCAGAGATTCGAACCCCGAACCTCAGTTTGTGAGTTCAGTGCGCTAGCAGTTGAGATGTATAGTGTTGTAATGTATATTTTGTAGTGTTGTGATGTATATTGCATAGTTCTGTGATGTATATTGTAATGTGATGACTTTTATTTAGTAATGTGATGTGTATAGTGTTGTGATGTATATAGTGTAGTGTGGTGTCTATATTATTGTAGATGTATGTTTAGTGTTATTTTAAAAAGT